AACTAAAGCCAATTTCGATTTAAATAATAACGACAATCCAATTAATAGTATGTTAACCATGGAAGAACTAATGTTAGTAATCTCTCAATTACGTTACACTAGCCCTGGACCGGATAATATTTCAAATATTAAAATTAAACACTTTCCTATGAATGCTCTTGAATACCTACTGAATATATACAATCTTATACTGACTAAACAAGTGTTCCCAGAAAGTTGGAAAACAGCATTAGTAATCCCTATACCTAAACCCTGTAAAGACTCAAGTTCTTCAGCAAACTATAGACCTATATCCCTTACGTGTAATCTTTGTAAGATATTAGAAAAAATTATAAGTAAAAGAATAAGATGGTATCTAGAAATTAATGGAAATATTTCACCATATCAATATGGATTTCGTCAATTTAAATCAACAATTGATCATTTAATGAATTTGGAAAATGAAATAATGGACGCTTTTGCCATAAACAACTATGTAGTTACTGTAGCCTTAGATATAGAGAAAGCCTATGAGATGGTTTGGAGACATAAAGTACTAATACTACTACAAGATAATATTGGTATTCATGGAAACATACTTGCGTTTGTCAAAAACTTTTTATGTGACAGAAAAATTAGAGTTAGAATAAATAATACGACATCGCCATCTATATTTGTTGAAAATGGTCTTCCTCAGGGCTCAGTACTTAGTGTTATTCTATTTATTATTACTATTAACGATATTTTAAAATATGGTGAAAAACCAGTAAAAGGTTTTTTATTCGCTGATGACCTTACAATAACCTGTAGGGGAAGATCTTTGAAACCTACAATGAAATTAATACAGAATACATTAGATCATCTTCAGGAATGGTCTAACAAATCTGGTTTACGTTTTTCAAAAACTAAAACAGAATTTATTATATTCACCAATGAGCACAAAAACCTCAACAATATGAACTTAAAGTCAAATGGAGAAAATATAAAAGAAGTTAATCAATTGCGAATATTAGGTTTAATATTCGATAAAAAGATGTCTTGGAAAATTCATATTAATAAATTAAAATCAGAATGCCATCAAAGATTAAATATACTAAAAATATTATCATCATCAACATGGGGATCTGACAGAAAATGTTTAATGAATACATATTATACCCTTATTAGACAAAAACTTGACTATGGTGCTGTCATATACGATTCAGCAAAATCACGAATATTAAATTCTTTGGAAAGTGTTCACAATACTTCTCTCCGTCTCAGTATTGGTTCATTTAAAACTAGTCCCATTAAGAGTATTTTAGCTGAAGCCGGAGAAATGCCATTGCAATTCCGAAAAAAGGAACTTCTACTCACTTACGTTATAAATATACTATCTCGGCCCAATATCCCAACATTCGACTACTATACAAAAAAATCGTTTACGGATGCACGATACCTACTTCAACCTCTTTTACCACAACCTTTAAGAATCAGAGCATCTAAATATTTAAAGGAATTAAATCTCAATATCCCACCTGTTTTTACAAAAAAAATACAGTGTTACGGTCTTTGGGAATTTTTAAAGCTACCTCTCAATCTTGACTTGGCCAAATATCCTAAATATAGTACTCCACCGATGGTTTTTAAAAGAATATTCCAAGAGTTAAAATGCAAGCATCATAATTGTGATTTTTTGTTTACTGATGGTTCTGTAATGAATGCGCAGTTGTTTACGGTAACAGCTACTACCGTTACAGACTTTTAGATTTCCATATAATTTTAAGTTGTGAAGCAATAACTATATTAAAAGCTTTAGAAATAATATATAACGAAGCTAATTTAGATAAATATTAAATAATTTTTACTGATTCAAAGTCATGTGTTACAGCCTTACAAAATCCTAAAAATATAGAACCTCTTTTTATAGAAATTAAACATAAAATGTATGAAATGTGTCAAAATAATATAAAATTTGAAATAGTATGGATCCCCAGTCATCACGGTATAACTGGCAATGAAAAAGCAGACAAGGAAGCCAAAGAAGCTATATCTGATAACGAATTCGATGGATCTAAAGCGAATCCAACAGATTTACGAAAATTTTTCAAGTTCAAAATAAAACAAAGCTGGAATATAAGCTGGAAAACAGATAATACATCGAAACTCTTCGGTATCCGGAATAGTATCTTTGATAAATCCCCTGCTTCATTCACTTGTAGAAAAGACCAAGTTGTTATCATAAGATTACGTATTGGTCACACAAATATGACTCATATTCATTTAATTTCAAAAAATAATAGAACTAAATGTAAATGTGGCTTAAACTTAACAGTGCTTCATCTTTTCGAAAGTTGTACCGCTTATAATAATGAAAAACAAATTTGTGATGTACCCACTAATTTAAAAGATTGTCTTAATAGTATAAATGGATGTAAATGTACTTTAAAGTTTCTTAAAATGATAAAATTGTATAAATTAATTTAAACTGTATAACTGTGGTCGTTAATGACCTTGTTGTTAAAAAGCGACCATAAATAAATAAATAAAAAAATTTAAAAAAATCAATTACTCTTATACAATCCTTTTACTTTTACCTTTTAGATATTATAAGAAAAAAAGAATTCAATCTTACAAAATGTATTTATAACTAGTTAAAAATTCCCTTTCTCATTTTCAAACCAAAACACTTCGAGGATATGATTATACTGATAGAGCTTCGGAAGCAAAAAAAATTGTAGTTTAGTAATTGTTAAATTTAATGAATTTTAATGTATTGAATATTATAATTATCAGAACACAAAGCACACAACTGATTAGAAGTAATGACTGAAAATCGATTCATCACAGAAAATATGGCATCTCATTTCTTTTAACTTTTATTTGTTAGTTATCACGGAGCAGTGTTTGGTCCATTGAAGACAACATAAGGACACCATTCTTCATATTCTACATTCTCTACAAATAACAACTCTAAAATTTACATAAGTCTTATGAAATATGTGCAAATATCTGCCGTGAAGGTAACTTTGTATATTAAAAAAATATATATTTTGAAGAATATTTTTTAAATGTATATCTTAGTTGTTTTAATAATTAACATAACAAACTTAAGTGCATAACCCAAATTTCAAATAAACAGTAGATGAAATCCAAATTTTTAATCACCACAGTAAAGACATGGTAACTTTTTGACAGATTGAAGAATAAGAGTTGTTTAAAAGTTTTTTCATATTTAGTCAGTGATGAATCGTGATGAGTTACACAAATGAGCTCTTCTACTCATAATATCTACTTCTACAGATTTTCTCATTTTTACTCATAAAAGTATTAATTTTATTTCTGACTAAATAGAGCTAGGATTAAAGGAACAAATATTTTTACATACAGATATATGTACATACATTTTTTTCTCATGGGTTCATGGATTCTCGAAACTATCGCTTTGAGTTATTGAACTTAGTCTGAAAAAAATACAGTTAATAAACTGTCAGTAACTTGATCAGAAGCAATCGTCTCGTTAGCGAAGAAAAATTCATTTTGTTAAAATATAATTTATTATTTTTGAAAAATGTCACGACTTTGAATGTTGTAGTGTATAGTTTGATATTCCAAATTGTATCTTTTATAACCAGAGGATACCTATATACATTTTATTTATTTTACATTAATATTATTGTTACTCTATAGTTATATTTTTTTCATAAACCAACAGGTAAATCTGTCGAATATTAAATAGTAAGTAAATAATGTTAAATAACGTTAAATCTTACAAATAAATACTTTTATCAATTACATAATAATAATACTATTGTGTTAATACTTAATAAATAAATGTACATTCTTCAGCATATTTCCTATTTATACTTCGAAGAGTTTTTGTTAATCATTTATAAATATAATCCTTCGCTTTTGAAGTCATTTCAAAAGAAACTAAAAATACTAGTTCATTTTAATATCCTTGACGTAAAATATTTTCTACATTTATGTTGAAACGATCGGAGATAATTCCTTTCTTCCTTCCTTCATGTATAAGTATGAAGATTAAAAGAAGAAAAGTACTAAGTTATACAAAAATATATTAACTAAATATAGCCGAAAGGTAAATGTCAACTGTAGCTAACTGAAATTTGACATTATGATTGACAGTCAGTGTCTTCATACATTCAGGAATCTTCACAAACGAACGTATTACATTTTTGTGTCAAAATCAAAATTTGTGTTTGATTTTAGTTAAAAAACAATTGCTTTGTGAATTATCTGCATATAAAGTTACACTGTGTTAATTTCCACGTTCATCCATTCTAACAATTTCCTTCAAAAGGAATCCACTTTGTATATTCTTGCAATACACACATTATGATGAGTAAATAGTGATTCAACTGTATCCTAATTTTTAATTTGTCTGTCACAGCCATTTGTAAATCATCAGGTTATTTTTGTTTATTTCAATCGTTTTGGAACGTTTATGTTATCCGCTATGAGGGCGTATTCAAATTTCATTCATCATGTAGGAATAAGAAAATGCTATCAGCCTTTGAAAACATTTTAATTAGGCAGTTTGAACGGGCCAGCACAATGTAAATTCAGCCTGTTAGTAAAACTATACTTATCGAACTACTGATCTCTCTATCGACATAATTTTTGTAAATTTAACAATGTAAAACTTTTTTATTTTTATTGTTCTGACTTTAATTTAATTAATACATGTAGATCTTAAAACTAAAAAATTGAGTTGAGGCAAATTGTGATAAATCGATATGGCAAATTATGATTGTTTAAAGAAGTATGGAACACCATAAAGATAATGTTAACTAAAACATTAAGCCTTTCAATAATTATAATAGATTTCTAAAGTCACATTTTACGATTGAATTGTAAAACAATTGAAAGAACTTTCTTTAAGTTTATGAATACAACGATCTGATTTTGTGTGGATGGATTGATTTGAATAGTTATGCTTTTCAAGGTTGTTAGGTTTTAGGTCTTTTATTCGGCAAGACGAGAATGATAAATATAAGATCCATGCAATGAATTTAGAAATGCAGAACGAGTGGTTAGACATAGGAGATTTTTGCATCCCATTAGCATTAAAATGGCGCACTTTAATTTATGATTGGTCGCCAGCATTGCTAAAATTCTATCTCAATGCGTTCCAGATGACTCTCCCAGATCAGAGTAATTTAGTAAGATGGGGTAAAAGTGCCGAAAAAACTTTCTATATCTGTGGAAAGGCAGTTGGAACTGCTAAACATCTGCTGGTGGGATGTAAGGTACTCCTGGACAGCGGTCAATACTCGCGTCGTCACGATAGGGTTCTAGAAGTCATTCGTGAAGCGGTTAGTCTTTCGGTAGCCAGAGCGCAAAAGGAAATAACCAGAAACGAACGATCAGTAGGTTTTATGAGAGAAGGCACTAGGGCTACAAAATCAAACGTCAAGCCTTACTCCATCCTTAAAGCGGCGTCGGATTGGACTATAATGATGGACACGTATGAAAAACAATATAAAATCCCCGAGGATATTTGTGCGTCGGCCTCCAGACCGGATATATTTTTGTTTTCGCGAATTTTAAAGCGCGTAGTGATGATAGAGCTTACGGTCCCTTGAGAAACCAACATCCCCAAAGACCATACCATCAAGGTCAACAAATATTACGAGCTCACAAACGAACTCACTCGAAATAGGTTCGTAGTAGATTCGTACGCGGTAGAGGTAAGAGCGACAGGTATAACAGCGAAATCTCTCTACAACCTACTAAAGGACTTGGGCTTGTCCAGAACTCACATTAATGCATTCTTGGAACGTATATCGAAGGCAGCCCTAGTAGGTTCTTTTCAAATTTGGTAAGGTAGGGAGAGGAGCTTGGACAGTGGAGGTGAGCGTATAACGCGCGTTAGTTAAGGGGCCCCTTAAACCTACACTTGGGTCGCAAGTCCCAGGCACTGTTGAAGCTCCTCTCCCTACAACGCGATGGACCCGGCACCCGCACGGTGAATCCATGGAATGCTGAGAAGTTTCGTCTCATAAGTATCGTGGAAGTGAAAGTTTAGTCTTTTATTGTTTTATGTTATTAGGACATCTTCATTACAGAAAAAACATAAAAAAAGAATACCATTTAGTGATAAAAATGCTTCTAATATTTATTGTCCTGTAAAAAAACGTACATATTTGTAAATAACATAATTCGTTAAAGTTCATGAATACTGTTTGATTAAGGTAACTTCAACGTTTTATAACCGAATAAAGATGATTCATGATGACGTATTAATCAAAATTACGGCTTTTAAAACTCTTTTCTGCAGATTTTATTTTATTTTCAGTAAATACTTTTTTGTTATAAGGTTATCACAACTTTATAAAAAGGATATTGTTTGCACTGTTTAGACTTCAGTTATAAATTGATTATTGAATCTTCAGTAACTGTAAAATATTTTTGTTAATTATTTTCACGGAATTGTATAAAAGGAAACATATATTATAAAACTATTAACTTGAGTAAAACTGTGCGTGTGCGCGTGTGTGTATGTGTATATACATAAGTTAGATAAAATGTTCTAACTGTAACTGGTTATAATGAAAACAATATATAATAAATATGCTTTGTACGATTACCTGACTAAGACTGATGAAAGTTTTCCATAGACAAGAAGTTGAAATATTACGTCGTTTAAAATGCTTTTATTAATTTAATTTATATATAATTATGGTTTATGTTTCCCTTTTCTTATAGAAACATAATTTTATTAACTATAAAGATTTGAAATTAAGAAACATTTTATAATCAACGTTATTATATGTTAACATCGTGTTTACTTCTTTTAAAAGGGGATTTGATCCCATTCGATATTTCTGTGATAATAAACAATTTAGTTCAATATAATATGTTTTGTCACAAACAAAACTACATTTAAAATGGAAAACTATATGTAGTGATGAATGTTCTAAGAAAATAAAAATATTTAGAGTTCCAAAATTAAATAGTTTAATTTAATCTAAATAGATTATTTTTATAAGCAACTAGCAAACCCGGCGAACTCCGTTTCGCCACCAGAAAGCTTTTATACATATAACATTTCGTTTGGTGATTAAAAGATGAAGAATTTTTTTTGTTTTATATTTGAAAAGGAAAAAATTTATTTCATTTCACAACAGTAATGAATTCATTTCGATTACAAAAATGAAGTGTTATTTAGTTGAACTTCTCTAAGTAAATGAAAGTGAATCCAAAGTAGATACCGAATCGAAGAACGCTTCGAACGGATAGTTTGCGGCCACGTATCGTATAACGATACGTGGCCGCAAATTATCCGTTTCATTGAAGTGCTCTTTTGTAAGCCACATTTTTTGTTTTTTGATCTAACTTTAACACAAATAAAGCGTATGGTTTCCAAACTCGTGAACAGGAAAAATATAAAGCCCATGTGAAAAACAATGATTTTCTAAATTTATCCCGCAAATACTAAATGGTTTTAAGAGTTCAAACTACATATACAATACCCGTTTGTCACATGAAATTAACTGAGCAGAGAACATTGAGTAGCTGTCAAACAATGTATCATGCGACGGCAGCATCTACTTAAAATATTGATTTGTAGTACATGTTATGTATGATGGCGTTGTATGTGAAAAGAGACTTTCCCGCTTTTCTACTGAATTTTTTTGTTATAAACCTCACGGCGCCCGAGACCTTTCCAAGTTACAGCGTCAGGATGGAAAACCGGACTTGTTTTTATATAGTAGATCTCTTACAAATATCTAATTGTCATCATTACGTCATAACATATCTGTCATTATACGTCAATTGCATAGCTGTCAATTGTGTTTCGTTATTCCACGTTTTATAGTGACTGACGTTTCATGTCAAGTCCCACGGGAATGCTGTCGAACGGGATAAGAAGTATCCTATTGCAATTTCCTGGCTCTAAACTACCTCCCTGCCAATTTTCAGCTAAATCAGTTCAGCCGTTCTTGAGTTATAAGTGGAGTAAAGTAAGTATTTAATTTAGTCAAATAACAAACCTTTTTTGTTTGTACACAACTTATTGCTGTGAACTTTGTCTATAAAATTCTTTATTTTATTATATGGTGAAATGAAATTATTACGAACTAATAATACCTTATAATCTCAACATACTGAGAAATAGACTTAGTATTCAGTAAAAACCCACTTTAAAGTATAATCACAAAGTAAAAATTCTTTTCATATAAATTACTCAAACATTATTTTAGTTAAGAAAACCTAAAATTTAAGAATACGGATTCGTCAAAGAAGTCGGATCGGTTTTCCAAAAAAACTTTAGGGTTATTTTATGATCATAACTTTCATGATAAACTTTATATACTTCGCCTTTCAAATAAATCTTGGTTAAGTAAGTTTACAAAGATATGCGATATTTTATGCTTATGTATCTCAGTCTTTTTGAAGGGATCGGAGTTTGAAATCGAACTTTGAGGTTTAGAAATACTTTATATTCTCTTAAATATTTAGAAGTTTCTTATTAAAATATTTTTATATTATATATTAAAATAAAATTGTTTCACCAAAGGTATTTGTTTACAGAAAATTTTAACATAACTAACTTATTTTTAAATTAAACAGAACCAGTGTTTACGTTATCGTAAATATATGTACTAAACACTAAAAATATTTATATGTATTTTATTCCAAACTAAATTCAATCCTAATAATATAAAGCAAACGATTCATTATTGCACATCGATATATGCTATTGTTAGGTAGTCGACTAAAAAGATTTATAATAATTTTTCCGTCAGTATACTTCGTACGTCTGATCAACACAATTTTAAATATTTACACAACTACGATGTAAAATTCTTGACGAAACAATTAGTTTTTAATCAAAACCCTTTCTGTTACTCACTTTTTTCACTATAAATAATTATTCTTAAGCATTTATAAATATTTCACTAAATTTTATCCATGCTCGGCATAAGATCGTAATGTAAGCTGTTCATTCTTTTACAAATCCTTATTAAGTAACGCCAATGGTATATGAAAAGTGTTCTGTGTAATTTTAGATCTTTCTTGTTTTTTGATGATTATGTAAGTAACTTTCTTAAATATTCATAGAATATTACGCAGCCTCAATTCATTTCGTGCGAAAAATTCTATCCTCCGTTTAATTTATATTATACTTATATGTTTTTTTCATTTATTTCACAAAGGATTATTTTTCTGTACATTACACATATATAACTAAATACTTACCTGCATAAAACATACTTGTTACTCTTAAAAAAACTTATTCCGATTATTAATATATTTCAAAATAAAAAATAAAAAAAACTGAATTTATGGCCCACTGATTTGAGCAACAATAATATTTTTAAAGCCTTTGTACAGCATAGAGCATAGTAACTTACCAGTGAATTTAGAATTGTGATCGAATTATTCAACATTGCTAAATTAAAAAAATAATACAGACTTATTCGGCAATTTATTACCTTAGCTAATACAACTGTGTTATTAAATCTCAAGCAAAACGGCCACTAAATTTAACATAGTTCTGAATAAGAAGTTTTTTGAATTTTCATTCAATTGGATTCATTTCTCATATATTTCACACATAAAACGTATGTAATATCGCGGGTACGTACGGCTTTATATTGTGTCTGGAGCTATTATTGTCGATAATAATTTAAAAAAATATTCAAAAAGACTTTGTATTAATTTCATAACTTTTATTTCACCAAACCTTACCTGAATGCTGATGTTGAGTCTACTTAAAACATGAAATTTAACAAAACAGTGACACAACAATCATTGTCCTACTAATATTATAATTGCGAAAGTTTGTGTGTATGTATGTTTTTTACTTCTTCACACTCAAACAGCTGAACCGATTTTGATAAAATTTTGTTTACAGGAAGCTGACGTCCAGGAATAACACATAGTTTACTATACATCCCGGAAAATGTTGGACTTTTCGTCATATAAGCGAAAAACCATATTTATTTACTGGAGAACTCAACTCCTAGCCAAAACGACATTATCGCTATGTTCCTTTTACAGGTCTATGTAGGCACGATCGACAGCCAATAAGCATTCCTTTCGTTAAAAAAAAAAGAGTTATGATGGACAATATCTATAGGCAACAGTTTCTTTCTGTAGTTCATTTGTTAAATACCGCCAAACTATTCATGTAAACGTAATTCTTAATTTTTATAACATTTCTGTTGTTTTGTAGTTGTTGGGTATTGCCCTATTGTGGGCTTTCTTTTATATATTACTAATGCCAAAATTAACGCGGACGAAGTCGCGGGCAAATCTTGTACAAACGATATGTAATATATAGGACTTTTGATTTATTTTATTTTATTATTGAAGAATCTGTTGTATATTTTAAGCTACGAGCTATTTAAGGTCACATTATGCAAACTATATTGAAACTATATTGAAAAACAAAAAGATGCTTCCGTTCTTTAATTAAAAACAAAGAAGAAAGTAGTAAGACTAACAAGTATAGTTTATTCGAATACTATAAAAGAAATAAACGTATTTTACTTACATATGTTAAGAAAACAAAACATAAAACTTCCTATATCTCAAGATTATTTCCTTTTATGTTTTTCTATATAATTACGAC